ACATCTGACAGCCCCTGCATATTTCTCCATCTTGACCTTCTATGGCTCTTTTTGCATTTTATTGGACTAGAAATCAAACAGAAATAAAAACTGTTGGGTTTCTATTCACACTGGATTTTTACCACCTACTGAAAAGCATATTTTCCCTTCTCCCAAATAAATCAAATAAAAAGTTGTGATATAATTAAATCAATATTAGCTATGAAAAACAGTATTTATAGTTATAATATTTTATAATATATTTTAGGTACTTAACAAGAGTTCTGTATCAGGTTGGGCAAAGGAATTTCATATGAAAAAGTAAAGTGTCTCAGATCTTACCTCCTTAAAAATATCAGACTTCAGGGCTGGAGAGATGGCTCAGAGATTAAGAGCACAGAGATTAAGAGCTCAGAGATTAAGAGGCCCCAGGTTCTGTTCCCAGTACCTACATGGTGGCTAACAACCATCCATACCTCTAGTTCCAGGGAATCTGATGCCTTCTTCTGACCTCCACGGGCATTGCATATCATGGGTGCACTTACATATATGCAGGTAAAACACTCATATACATAAATTACTACCATGTAGAACCTGGAATGCATACCCATTGTGTAACAGTATACAACAGTACACAATACAAACATACACTATAAAGGCTGCCATATTGGAAGATGAAGCCTAGTCATAAGAAGTTCTACAACTGTCTTTGTATTTAAAAACTCTATGAATGTGGCATCTAAAGAACCAAAATGACTCCTCCCACTCTCGGGAGCTCTTTCTCACTTTTCCTTAACACACTTTTTTAAAAGACCAAGATGGGTGAAATTAAGATGATCAAACTAAGGAATAAATATGTAAACTAAAAAAAGGGTTACATGTCAACAAATTATCACAAAAAAAATGCAGCAAGACAGGTTTGAGAGCAAAAGGCTAAAGGTGGTTTAAATTAACAGGACAAATAATAACTTGAAATGAAAGCAGAGAAAGAGTAGAGAAGAAATATGACAACAACACACGTGGACTGGAATGTAGTCAGGTAATCCTAATGTCATCATCAGGAATGATACAGAAAGACAAATTTTCTTTTCTCTGGACAGGTAAAGAAGGACAACTTGACAGCTAAATAGACTCAAATTGCCTACCAGGCACAGAAAGCCACCAGTGATGAAACGTGCAAGATTACGAGAACAAATAGGTATTTAATATTAGATTATACCACTGAAAATAGTCTCAACTTTGGGAAATGTTTTACATTCTGTTGTGCTAAAATGCTTATTTTTAAAGATTACAGATGTAAATTATCTTTAGAAATTAGATATTTACTTGAAAAAAAGATAAGTGGCTGATAGTCCCTTCATTGTCATGCCACTAACACTGAAGAAACCATTATAACCCTCAAACCAAGAAGAAACTATCAGAGTGTTGACATTGGGTTTACATCTGTAGTCCATTCATGCTATGCCATCAGCACTGTAACATTCAAACCAAGGAAGCATCTATGCGTAGTACTGGTGTTATCTCTGACCCTGAGGCAGAAGCACCTTGCCAATGAGGAGTGGATTCTTTTTTTTAATTTTTTTAAAATTTATTTGTTCTATTTCATGTGTATGAGTGTTTTGCCTGCTTGTACATAAGTACACCTGTGTCGTGTAATGTCCATGGAGGCCAGAAGAGGAGCTCAGATTCTCTGAAACTGGAGGTATGGACTGTGGTACCATGTGGTGTTAGGAACCAAACCTGAGTCCTCCAAAAGAGCAGCCAGTGCTCTGAATGGCTAAGCCATCTCTCCCACCCCTTAAGGAGGAAAAATAGGATGTGAACATATGTAAGAGGGTATGCACCCACATTCCTAAATAAAGCAAGAAAAAGCTCAGTTCTTCACATCCTCAAAAACAGGAATTTCTTTTATTTTTATTTTATGTGTATGGGTGCATTACTTGCATGTGCACCTGTGTCATGCAATGTCTGCAGAGGTCAGAAGAGGATGTCAGATTCCTCTGAACTGGAGTTAAGGATGTTGTTGTCTGCCATATGAGTACTGGGAAGGAACCAAACCCGGATCCTCTGAAAGAGTAGTCAGTGCTCTTAACCGCTGGACCATCACTCCAGCTCCCCCAAATCAGTAATATTTTAAGTGAATTAATGAAAACCCATAATATATGTCATACAATGAATACTACTACAACCCATATTCTACTCAAACATAACTATTCTCATTTAGCTACTAGGTCTTTTTGTCCATTACCCCCACCCCACTACACCTAGAGCTGGCTTGTCTGTCATCAGTTCTCTGTTTACAGTCAAGAGAATTGTATAAAGGATAGTGCTCGTTTTAGTGAGAAACACATTAACTGGATCTAGGCTCAGCATAGGCAGTGCTGTACAAGCACGGCACAGCTGACTGATATACTTTAAAACGCTACATCCTGGATTATTTTTTTTTTTTTTTGCGTTTTCAGCTGAGACCACACAGCCCTTTTCACCTATATCTCACATACAATCTGAGGTCTCAGAGTTTCCTGCTAACAGGTAGTGAGAGTCAAACTTCTTATTCTCATGGATACTGAAAAAAAAGAGGGCTCTAAGGTGAGGGTGGGAAACAGTCAAGAGTTTCTCTGCCAACCCAAACAGAAGTTGTTGTGTCTTGCTGCTGAAGCAGTTTAAGGCAGGCAATACTGAGCCAAATATTATGGCTATAATTAAGTGTGTATATTAAGGCAGATGTTCTCAGAAAGTGGCAGATGATGCTGATGACTGATGGTAGAGAACTTTTTAAGTATTTGTGTCAGACATTGTTCTGAATAGTTTACAGCTCATTTAATTTTCCCAAACTACAACAAAACAAATCCTCACTAGGTAAAATTATTTTTATTCTGATTACACACAGAGAGACACTACAATATCAATGTGGACTAAAATAATTTTAATATTTTCAAGTCATTTAAAATTAAAATATAAAACTCCATGCCTATTTATTAACCCTGCAATAAAACAAAGGGCTATCATTGATTTAGGGTCTTGTGTGAAGTTTCCCATTATTTTTCCTGCCTAACTGTATTATATCACTGATGACTTCCAGATTGAATGTAAAGTCAGTAAAACCTTAAAGATATTTAAAAAGCAAGTAAATGAAGAATTAATCCAAAATTTATATATTCATTGATAAATTGTCATGTGTTATATGAACTTGCTAAGAAAGCTAGCTCTAAAAACAGAAATGTGAACACTCCCCCTGCAACATCAGATCTAAATACAATTGTCTCAAAGTGTCCTCCAAGTCTCCTTGTCTAGGGATGGACTGCTCACCCCCTAAAACTGTAAAAGGGAGGGAAGGGAACAACAAAACAGCCAAGTAAAAACATTGTGTCCTTGAAAACAACTAAAGGTAAATCATCTCGAATATATGTTACTATCACTTATCCCATCATATAAAGCTCAGCCATGGGGAGCTCATCCACAGAGAGAAAACTTAACTGGGAACTCCAGTTGACTGCCTCAACTTCCCCAGTTGGCTTCTGCTGGAAATTGTGAGCAACAGATTTAATGATGTCATCTCTATCTATTGCTGTTTGTTCCTTCACTCAGACATTTCACCCAAGTGGATCCTCTGCTCTGTCAGGAATCCTATGGGGAGCTCAAGCTGACTGTCTCAACTTCCCAGTTGATTTCTGCTACATATTCTGAGTGTCTGAGTGGATGTTTTGCTGGCTATCTATCATCTATCACTTACTATTTATCCCTTTACCTTGGCTTGCTATGTACTTAATAAATGTACTCATTCAAAACCTAAGCTATCATAGCTGATCCTATAGAACAATCTTCCACCCATACCAAGGCAATCTCTCACACTCATCTAGTCCACATCTATTTACACTACAGTTTGTTTCAATGATTCACCAAAGAATTCAACTTAAATTTCATAAAATCAACAACTCTTTATATTTTTGTGCTCATATTTCATCAATTTGTATAATTAAATTATAACTGCACATTCAATGGGAATAAACAATATTTAAAACATAAATCACCTTAAGTAAACATATTAGTGAGTAAACAAAAATGAACCATTTTTTCCAGAGTATACTAGTGTCCAGGGAAAGGGACCAGCTATCAGGGTTTCTCTTGTATTCTTATCACTCTCTAATCACAAATATTACCATTTGATAGGTATAATGGGATATTGAAAGAACAGGTTTATAATTAAAAATTTACAAATAAATTTGCTATAATGATAACAAAAGTTATACAGAAAGGTAATATATTCCTTCATATCTTAAATTAGGAATCTAGGAGACTCCACCACCAATTAACAACTGAGAGGTTGAAATTCTACCTCAAACTCAACAATGTAAAAGGAGACATCTATTCAAATCCTGAATACACAAACACACACACACACACACACACACACACACACACACACACACACACACACACACACACACACACACACACACACACACACACACACACACACACACACACGTATGTATATTCACATACAAACTAAGCACTGATAAATAAAGAAATGTGGGTTTTAAAAAAGATACATTCTGGACTGGGGAGATGGCTTAGTGGTTAAGAGCTCAGACTGTTCTTACAGAGGCCCCAGGTTCGATTCACAGCACCCACATGGTGGCTAATAACCATCCGCAACTCCAGTTCCAGGGGAATTTGATACCTTCTTCTGACCTCCCTGGGCATTGCACAACATGGGTACACTTACACACATACAGGCAACACACTCATATACATAAAATAAAAATAAATAATAAATAAATAAATAAATTTTTTAAAAGGTAAATCTGGGGCTGGAGAGATTGCTCAGTGGTTAAGAGTACTGGCTGCTCTTCCAGAAAACACGGGTTTGAATTCCAGCACCCACATGGCAGCTAACAACCATCCACAACGCCAGTTCCAGGGATCGCCTTCTTCTGACCTCCACAGATATTGCACAACACAGGTGTATTTATATACATCCAGGCAACACTCTCATACACATAAAAATAAATAAATCAGTGTTCACTTCGGCACCACATATACTAAAATTGGAACCCTACAGAGATTAGCATGGCTCCTGTGCAAGGATGACACACAAATTCTTGAAACGTTCCATACTTTTTGGTTTTAGTGTAATTTTGTTTCCATCATTAAAAATAAGATAAATAATAAATAAATAAATAAATAAATAAATAAATAAAAATTTAAAAAGAAATATTCTACCTTCCAGGGAAATCCATACATTGTATGGGAAAATTATGAATTTAAAATTCAGGTTCAGCCAGTTAGTACTTCTTTGACATAGGAAGTCACTTCACCTGCTTGAGCTATAGTATCCTTATCATAAAAGGGAAAAACAGGAAAGGGGAGAGAGGAGAGGGGGGAGAAAGAGGGAGGGGGAGGGTGGAGGAAGAGAGATCAATTGTCACCATCTCACAAATGTAAGGTTAGAATTATATAAAATCAAAGAGATGAGAACACTGCAAACTATCAATCATCATATATACATAGAAAGTTATTACTACTGGAAATCCTGGCTTATATCTTGCACATGGAACTTTAGGGTTAGGCAGTTCACTTTAAAAATCACAAGGCTGAATTGAAATCTACCTGATTTCATATCCATGCTCAGATGCTAAGGAGCTCAGAAAGTAACCGACTGTGACTAGTAATAATCAGATATAGAGATTAGAAACACATATACATCTTAGTCTCAGTTGTATTAAAAATGAATTTTTCTGTATGAAACTGTGTTAATGAAATGGAGATCTTTTTCAAAGTTTAAAACCTCATTTAATTTTATGTCTTATAGGGTTTATACGGTGTAGGTGTGCTTCTTTTAAGACTTGAGCTAATCATTGATGCTAGAGAGATGGCTCAGTGATTAAGAGCACTGGCTGTTCTTGGCAGAGGACCTGGATTCAATTCCCAGCACTCACATGGCAGCTAATAACCATCCATAACTCCAGTTCCAGGGGATCTGATGCCCTCTTTTGACCTCTGCAGGCACTGCAGGGCATGGGTACACTTACACACATACAGGCAATACACTCACACACATAGAGGCAATACACTCATACACATAAAATAAAAGTAATAACACCTGTTTCCTACTGTTCTCTCTCAGGTTCTTTCTTTTCCTTTACCTCCCTAGTTCCTTTTCATTATCCTGGTTCTTGTAGTTATGTCTGGATATATACTCACTTTTCAGGATTTGGTAAAACACTGAATGTTGTATGTAGGTAATCTCATGTCACATTATACAATTTTCCCACTATAAGAGGGAATGAAATGCTTCTTCTAAGTATGTGGTTATTAAATAAATAATAAACTGAAAAAAATAAAAATAAAAAAATCACCTGAAATTTAAGACTGAATTTTAGGGTATAACTTGGTCAGATATGCACTTGGCATGTGTGAGGCCCTGAGTTTTAATCACCAACTATAAAAATAAAAAGCCTAAATTACTTTTCTACTTATGGTGGTATCAGCAACAGAGCAGAAATAGAGATTTCTTGATTAAACAGGAAAAGAATGAGGGAGGCCCAAGACCATGATGAACTGAAGATTCGAAGAAACAAAAGTATCCAGGATAAAGTGATGTTGTTCTCTTGACTGCAAACTGAGATAAAAGCCATGTAGTTTCTTATAGTAACTCCTGACAGTGGATATTAGAGACCAAGAGAATAATAAAAAATATTATGTTCAACTACACTATATCAAACATAAACTTTTAATCCATGTTATAATATTTTGGTAGTTATATAAACTAAATATGGAAGTTAATATAATTACCATGTTTACACTAATCCTTTCTACTGGACAGAGTAATTAGCTATAGGTTAGGAAGTTAAGAAAACAATAGGATGGACATCAGTGAAGTTCAAGTACTTTTAATTGGATTCTTTTGGGTACAGTTTGCTTCCCTTTTCACTAGCCATTAATCCAGCAGGGAAAGTGATCTAACACAGCACCATGGCATGAAGGGATGGGCCCTGAGAGCCTGTCTCTCTGAGATGACTATTCTTGTGCATCCAGGCCGCCTATTGAAACTAACAATGCCTGCTGCTGCTGCTGAAGAGGATCATCCAAACTCTGAAAATGAAACACATCACACAAAAGGATGAAAGAATTCTTATTCCACAGGGTTTAGCTTGCAGCTGGTCATGCATGCCAGAGGGATGTGCCATGAGGATGACAAAGAGGCTTCCAAATAGAATGGCTGGGGCAGCCAGACGGACATTTTGAAATACTTAGGGAACTATTCTTTTGAAACTAAGGCAATAACCAGTCTTCTTTATAGCAAAACATGAGAGAGTTGGGTTTTTTAAATATCTACAGTTCACCAAGGTGTGAATATTCTTGAAACTAAACAAAACAGAGAATTTCTAATTGGTTATACTTTGAGGGAGTTCTCCTTTTATGGTAAGAAATGATGCTACATAATTGACTTAGTTTCTTTTCTAGGTTAGGGCTCAGTGTTACTCCAGAGTTTAAAACTATGAAGGAGTGTTTTTTTTTTAATGATGCAAGTATACCAAACAATAAACTTGCTTGCTATACAAAATATCACACTGGTGAAGACCACAGTCTTCCTTTATTTACAGCATAAAAGTGAGAGGTTCCTTTCATTACTCACAATGGTGCCCAGGTTAGACTTATCACTTAGGTCTCACTGATTCAGGTGAACTCCACGGTAACTAGATAGGTGACCTTGTAGAAGTTAGTTAATCTCATTTAGCCTTGGAGTCCTCACAAGTAAAAGGAAGTAATATCTGTTCTTTGACATTGTTGCAAAGAATAATAAGGTAATATTTACTTTATTGTTTAGAAATGAGTACAAAGTGTGACTCAATAAATGGTATCCATTGTCTGTGTCTATCTTAAGAGGAGCAAGGAACAGTTCACATAAGGAACTGAAAAGAAAATGGAATGTAATATAAAACACTCCTCTGGGGGCTGGAAAGATGGCTCAGTGGTTAAGAGCACTGGCTGCTCTTACAAACGACCAGGTGTGGCTCCCAGCACTCACATGGTGCTAACACCAGTCTCTAACTCCAGTTCCAGGGGATCTAACACTCTTTTCTGGCCTCTGGAGTCATTGCATACATGGATACACTAACATATATGCTGGCAAAACACTCATACACATAAAAATGAAAATAAATTTTAAAAAATTTTAAAAACCAGTCCTCTGTCCTGTCTGGCTGCTCTTAGTGATTTAAACATTGTATCGTGTATTTCAGATTAAATCAGACTTTAAGAGAAGTATTCACTCCTTGGAAGATAATTCCAAAGTAAAAAGAACTCATTTGGAGATTTTTTTCCCCCAACATATTCACTCCATTAGCTCTAATCTCCATTAGAACAGTATCATTAAATTCTTTTTTCAAATATCTTAACTTTTTAGAAAGTTGCTACTATACTTTGTGGAGAAATGTTTGGCACTGAAGGACTTCTGTAATCGGTAATGTCTCCTATCCCTCCTTCTGGCACCCGCTACAGTCTCAGTGGCTCTTCTAGCATCTCTCAACAGTAGAAGACAATGTGACTAAAAACCGAAACTAAGAAAGCAAAGTTAAAAGACATTTAAGAAAAGTGCATTCTTGCCACATGATATCCCACAAGCACTATCCCATCATTTACACAAAATGAACTCTGAGCCCTGTTCATTACTAATCTTTCTGAAAAACCAGAAAGTAAAGAAAAATTACAAATATGATACTCAAAGCAAAGGAATAAAAGCGAAGAAAATATATAATGGAGACAATGATAGAATTAAAAATTACCCATTTGCAACAAAAACCCACAATTTATTTTTCCTCAGAATTATAAAATATTTAAATCTGAATAGTTTTGTGACCATAGAAAAATAATATCACCTTTTATAATACTGTATTACATTCTGTTTATTATTAACACATTGACTTTATTCTGATTTATCTAATAAAAACACTAACACTAATATTTATTGAGAACTTGCCAGATTTTATTCATTTTATTTTATCTTATTTTGGTAAAAACACTTTGCATGAGATCTCTCTGTTAAGTGATATTAAACATAAATGTATCACATTTTAAATGTTGACTATAAGCACAATGCTACCCAGCAAACCTCTGGAACTTTTTCATCTTGCTTAATTGAAATGTTACACCTACTTATGTAACTCCCCATTTTCTCCTCACTCATAGTTCTTGATAACCACCATTCCACTTGCCAATTCAAGTAATTTGGCTATTTTAGATTCCTTATATGAGTAGAATCACATATTTGTCTTTCTGTGATAGGCTTATGTACTTTAGCATAATTTCAGGTGTTGCCATTGCTGCCCATATTACAGAACTTCTTTGTTTACAAGGCTGAATAATATTCTATCGTATGAATATATTACATTTTCTTGACCCGTTTACCTTTAGGACATTTAGGCTGCCCACATACTTACTTGGCTGTTGTCAACAATCCTACAATGATAAAGAGGTATCTCCTCCTAGATCCTGACTTTGGATGAACAACAAACCAGAAATAAAAATACTTCAAAAAATACACTGCACATATGAAAAGTTCATGGATCAGTTTTCATTTGTTGAAAAAATGGAAAACATTCCCTCTAAGATGAGGGTCCACTCTCACCATTTCCATTCAACTTAGGACTGCACGTACTACCAAGAGCAATTAAAGTCCATAAAAAAATAAACAGAAAATTAGAAGGAGAAAGTAAAAGAACTCTTATTTTTAGAGATCTAGATCTTATATAGAAAAAATATTAAAAGACTCCAGAAAGAAAAAAGTGATTGGAACTAATAAAGAAATTCAGTAAAGGTTCAGAACACAAAATCAATGAACGAAAGTAAGGTGCATTTCTAAATGCTAATGCAAAACTCTCTGAAAGGGAAATAAGGAAACTATTCCTACTTACAATAGCATAAAAACAGTAAAATGCTTATAAAAAAACTGAAGTGAAGACTATATAGAGGAAACTACACATCATGAATTAGAAAACTTTCAAAGTCACATCTAACAGAAAGATATACCTTGTTCATAAAGATTACATCATAAATTGACCTTAAGAGTCAATTCTATAAATTTACAGTTGACGTGGAACCACAAAGTATCACAAATAG